AAGATCTACCTTGTTCTTGGATAGGCAGAATTAATACTTCAAAATGACCATACTACCAAAAGCACTATACAGATTCACTGCAATCCCAATCAAATTCCCAATGGCATTCCTTATAGAAATAGAAAAAGCAGTCATGAAATTCATGTAGAAAAATAAGAGACCCAGAATAGCCAAAGCAATCCTTAGCAAGAAGAATGAAGCTGGTGGCATTACTATTCCAGACCTAAAACTATACTACAGAGCAAAAGTAACTAAAACAGCATGGTATTGGTACCAAAACTGACCTATAGACTAATGGTACAGAATAGAGGACATCGAGTCTAACCCATATAACTTCAGTTATCTTATTTTAGACAAAGGCACCAAAAATGTACATTGGAGAAAAGGTAGCCTCTTCAACAAATGGTACTGGCGAAATTGGAAATCCACATGTAACAAAATGAAATTAAACCCCTATCTCCTACTATGCACAAAACTCAACCCAAAGTGTATCAAGGACCTAGGAATTAAACCAGAGACCCTGCGCCTAATAGAAGAAAAAGTAGGCCCAAGTATCCATCATGTCGGATTAGCCCAATTTTCTTAATAAAACTCCTATAGTAGAAGAATTAAAACTAAGAATCAATAAATGGGATGGATTCAAACTAAAAAGCTTCTTCTCAGCAAAATAAGAAGTGAGGTGAATAGAGAGCCTACAGAATGGGAGCAAATCTTTACCACAAGCACATCAGATAGAGCACTAATCTCCAGGATATATAAAATACCCAAAAACCTTAACACCAAAAAAAACAAATAACCCAATCAATAAATGGGCCAAGAGAGTAAACAGACACTTCTCAAAAGATGATATACAATCAATCAACAAACATAAGAAAAAATGTTCAACATCTCTAGCAATTAGAGAAATGGAAATCAAAACTACTCTAAGATATCATCTCACTCCAGTCAGAATGGCAGCTATTATGAAGACAAACAACATTAAGTTTTCACAAGGATGTGGGGGAAAAGGCACACTCATAAATTGCTGGTGGGACTGCAAATTGGTGCAGCCAATCTGGAAAGCAGTATGAAGGTTCCTTGGAAAACTTGGAATGGAACCACCATTCAACACAGCTATCCCAACTCCTTGGTTTATACCCAAAGGACTTAAAAACAGCATACTACCACAGGGACACAGCCATATCAATGTTTATAGCAGCACAATTCACAATAGCTAAATTATGGAACCAACCTAGATGCCCTTCAGTAGATGAGTGGATAAGGAGACTGTGGTATATATACACAATGGAACATTACTCAGAATTAAAAGAGAATAAAATCATGGCATTTGCAGGTAAATGGATGAAGTTGGAGAATATTTTGCTAAGTAAAGCAAGTCAATCCCAAAAAACCAAAGGCCTAATGTTTTTTTTGATATGAGGATGCAGATGCATAATGGCAAGATGGGGGGAGCATGGGAGGAATGGAAGAACTTTAGAGAAGGAAAGGGGAGAGAGGGGAAGGGAGAGGGCAAGTGGGTAGAAATGATGGTGGAATGAGTTAGACGTAATTACCCTAAGTACATGTATATGACACAAATGATGTGAAAATACTTTGTGTACAATCAGTGTCTTGAAAAATTGTGCTCTATATTTGTAATATGAAATGAATTGCATTCTGCCATCATGTATAACAAATCAGATTTTAAAAAAGAAACATAAGTAGTAATTGATTTAGGTGCTCTAATATAGAATACAAAATTGTGTAGTAAGGCTAAAATTATATTTAAAATATAAAAAACAAAACTAAGTGCAATCCTGTTTAATTCTTGTTTTTATTTCTCCTGATTTATTAGGTTATTCTTTTTAATAAATATATGCATATAAAAATTACCAAACAAATATAAATAGTAGGCACTGTTGCCTTAATGATTTCATTTTTGTCTTTAACTTTCAAATAATATCAAACACATAAAACTTTAAAATGAAATACCAAAAATTTTAAATAAATGCAAAAACTTTAAAATAAAATGACCTTGTATGGTAGATAAAACTAACTGTATACCCTGTATCTATTCTCTTCCTACTTACACAAAACACTATTTCTAGCCCCTCACACATGAGTGGAAAATGAGGAGGAGCCTGAATTCCTGAGGGCTTTATAGAGTCATTGCACCAATAAATGCAAACCTCTAATTCTTTTTATTACATGAGGGAGGAAAAAAAAAAGTGCTTGCTTAGAGCCTTCTCTCATATACAGCCAAATGCAATCCTTAACTGATACATAGTGCTAAAATTAAATGTGAATAACTATACCACTGAAAAATATTTTCAAGATAATATACTCTATAATACCTTCAGAGGAGAAAAGTGATTCAAAAAACAATAAAATAAAACTAGATAAAGCTCTAAACTAATTGAGAATAATTTTTCAAAATATTAAAATCAAGCCCATTTAATTGATCTAGTTTGAAAATAACATTTATTTTTGTCAAATAGTATTTTTAAATATTACATGTGTGCCCGTCAAAATTGAGTATCCAGGCTAGGGATAGAGCTCAGTTGGTAGAGTGCTTGCCTTGAATGCATAAGACCCTGGGTTCAATCTCCAAAATCACACACAGACACACACACACACACACACACACACAAAAACCCCTGGTATCCATCCCTTTTGTCATCCATAAACAAGCCTACAGTTTGAAGTTACTCAAAATTAGTATTCAAGAAAATTTACATTAATTTTATAAGTATGTCTGTATATGTTAGTCCTAAAGATGGAATGATCCATGAGGATAAAGATTAAATTTACAAATAATGTAAATCCATACTGTCCCACAAAAACAAATAATGTATGTCTTCTTTTCTATCAACTTAAAAGGAATTAAAAATGTTTTATAAATAAACATCATGTCTGAATTTTACAAATATTGGTCTTTATATTGAATATTACGATTTAATATATTTTTTGTTCTTATATAATAAGAGATCTCTTGACTGGATATAGGATTCTTGGAAACCAGTGCTTTTTGCTGAGTAGTTGAATAGATACTTCCATCATCAACTGCAGGCCAGATTCCTAATACCTGCTGCTCAGAAAAGCCTTCCTGGACTTAATTGTTTAACAAAACCTAAATTCTTGTGCAGGGCATCTGCCCAGAGAATAGAAGACCAGTTCCATTTATATTGAATTTAAGTTCTCTTTCTGCTTGGCCTATGCTGTTCTTTATATCCTAGTCCTTTTCTGAAGAGAAATACTACTTGTCTGATTCTAGGTCTACAGAGAAGCACACTTTATTCAAGAATAACACCAAGAAAAATTAGTTTATCAATATAAGTATGTTACAGAATCTCATTCTCAGGTAGCAGTAATAAATATACTATAAAATACTTTACCATGTTATGTAAGTATTAGGCTGTTGATACTTAATTTCTTGAGGACTAGGGCTGCCTTATCAAAATCAGGTAGCCAGAATATTTTATATTCTGTAGGGAGTATTTTATACTTTATATTCTATAGGTATTATTGAAATTCTACCTGCAATTAAGAAAGGGCACTATAGTGAAAATAGTCTAGCAGCAATTTCTGAATGCCACAAGAGGGGGATATAACTCCACTATAATACAGAAGGAGACAAAAACAAAAAAGCTACCTTTTCCATTAAAAAAAAACAAAAAAAGAAAATGTTATTTTCTTGAACTTCCAAGACACAGAAATATGAGCATTTCTGAGTTGAAAGTAACAGGAACAAATAGCCTTATTTCTCCACAATTCATTATTATTGAAAATGCAGAATTTCCCTGTAACTTTCACTAATGAATTGCAGTTATTCAAAGAAAAGCAACCATAAATGCTCTCATTCTCATTCTCTGTATATCAACTTAGTACTCTACCTATAGCTCTTTAAAAAACTTTTTTTTTTTTGTTATTTCTGATAAGCACTACAGCAAGGTGTAGTAAATGCGTGAAGGCTTTTTATAGAGGGAGAGAATTTGGCTCCACTTATAGACTGTGTGAGCCTGATCAAATTCTTTCATCTATTTAAGCTTATCATCACATGCATCAAAGGAAATAAGGTTAAACTTCACCTCATGCGGTTGTTGCAAGACTGAAAAAAGGGAAATGAAATTAATTTGCATACTGTATATGTTCAATTAAAGCTGCTGCTGCTGATGATAATGATATGTTAAATCCTACAAATTTCACAGAGTATGGCATTTGCATTTTCAATAGAAGTACCCTTGGCTTTTCACAGGATTTTTTTCTGAGTATTTCTGAAATAATAATTCAGAGTTTTGAGGAAAAGGCTATTTCTAAGCAGGCTCTGAATCCAACAAGGTCATGCTTCAGGATTCTGTACATTTTAAAGTATAGATTTGAATGACTGAAAAACAATGAATCTGTTTTGTAAAACACTTTACAAAACAGATAAACTTAAGTAATTTATTATAAATTAAAATTAACTCCCAAAGAGGCAACCAGAAAAGAAAGCAGATTGGTCAGCCCATTGAGGTTTCATGATCCTCATAAGGTAACTTTATGGGTTCTCTGATGGATTTGATATCTCTCTTTAATATATTTGCATATGTAATGTGTATATGTATATGTATGTACACAAATACATCCATGTGTATATGTGAGTACATGTGTTTGTATATTACAGAGGAACTAGAATGGACATGTTTTAGAAATGTAGAAGATATGTTCTTTGTGTTAAATATTAGGCTTCTTCTGATTAGAAGGAATAGACATGCTCAGGTTCCCTGCTAGCCTGACTACTGAGATTCTTTTTCTTCTATTTTGTTTATCTGTACATACACCAGAATCTATGCTCTGCTTTCCAACAGGGAGAGTAAACTGATGGCCTGTGACTAGATTCTTTGGATGCAAGGAACAGTTCTCCTGAACAAAATATTTTATTTGGATCCCGTTGACAATCTTTAATTTTTTGTTTAGAATCTGTCTGGGGGAAAATATACATACTTTCCTACAGTTATTCTTTTTAACCATCTTTTACTCACCACAGGCATTCGTTCATAGACACGAATAGAAGATAGACTGTCTACAATAAAGCAAATAATATTAACAATTGATATTTTATAAACAATTGATATTTTATCAGTTTTAACTCAACTTATAACACATATATATAATTGCTTTTGTACCTGAAGGATTCCCACGGAATTTTTCCATTTTCTCTTTAAGAGATGCAATTTGCTTTTCTAGTTGATCATTCATTTCTAGTTGTGTCTCATAACGGGTTTTCCATTCACTGCCTGAGGTGTGGGGAGATCAAGATTAGCCCACTAACTCTTATTTATTCATTCAAATAACATGAAACAGTTCAATCTTTACCTGTTAAGATCTTATCTTTTTTAGTAATACAGATAAGTCCCATTAAAAAAACAATGCCAAATAATACTTTTTCAACTATTAAAAAGAACAGTTTGGGGTTGAAAAATGGCACTACGTTTGGTCCATCTGGTGCTGCTATAACACTGTGACTGGGTCATTTACAAAGAACAGAAATTATTTATCACAGTTGTGGAAGCAAGGAAGTCCAGGATCAAGGCACTGGTAAGGTTTCTTGTTCTGTGTCTTCATGTGACAGACAAGCAAGCTAACAAAATGTGGTGTGTGAAGCCTCTTTGGTCAGGGCCTTAATCCCACTAAAAAAAAAAGAGGAGCCCTCATGGCCACATCCCTTCTTAAAGGCCCAGCTTCTCTGTATTATCACATTGGATTTTGGAGAGACACGTTCAAACCACAGCACACCACATGGGTTTTAATAATTCAGTCATGTTTGTTCTAATCACTACAGTTATAATGATGGCAACAATGAAGTTATCTTAATCTGAAAAGACTGAAAAATGAAATATTTTTATCATGGAAAGGAAAAAGACTAATGTGGTACTCTATAAGGAACTAAGGATGCAAAAATAAAATAGACACTGTCCTTGCTATCATTCAGCAATAAAAATAGGAAGAAAAAAAAAACACACTTAACTAGAACATTTGAGAAATTTTTCAATTAAGTGGATGCTATGGAATACACAGGACATCTGATCTGAAAGAGAAATAAGGATGGGGAGACAGATACTCATCTATGCTTTTTGTTTTTTTTATATTAACTTTATAATCCAGGAAGTGAGGGGAAAGGGGAAAAAATGAGAGAGAAATGAATTACAGTAGATGGGGTAGAGAGAGAAGATGGGAGTGGAGGGGAGGGGAGGGGAGGGGAGGAGGGATAGTAGAGGATAGGAAAGGCAGCAGAATACAACATACATTAGTATGGCAGTATGTAAAAAAGTGGATGTGTAACCGATGTGAATCTGCAATATGTATATGGGGTAAAAATGGGAGTTCATAATCCGCTTGAATCAAATGTATGAAATATGATATGTCAAGAGCTTTGTAATGTTTTGAACAACTAATAATAAAAAAAATTAAAAATAAATAAATAAAAATTACCAAAATAAAAAAAAATAACTTTATAATCCATTTGGAAGTTTTTAGCATTAAGTATATAGAATGAGGATCTAAATGAGCATTTCTTTCTCAACATTACACCAATTTTTCAAACAGAATTTATTGAATAATTCATCACTTTTCATTTAGCTTCCTTAAATTCCAATAAAACATGATTGGTAATAGGCCCTTGGCTCCAGTTTTCTACCCAGAAGCCCTTTCCCAAATGCAGCAGGCACTCTGACATTTTTATTTTGTTTCCTTTTTGATGGTAGGGAGAGAGAAAATAGTACTTAGAAAGTGATGCTAAAGGATTGTTATGGACTAAGTATTTATATGCCTGCCCCCAAAATTCATATATTAAAGCTCTGTCCTCCAATTTGACTGTATGTATTTGGAGAGAGAGTCTGTAAGGAGGTGATAAAGCTTAAATGAGGTCACAACACTGAGGCTCTAATTCTGTAAGATTAGTGTTATTAGATGAGAAAGCAGAGCGTTAACTGACTCTGTTTGATTCTGCCATGTGAGTACATAGTAAGAAGATAGGTGTCTCCAAATCAGAAAGGAGTTCTCACCATCAACTGAACTGGCTAGCACCTTGATCTACTAATTCCCAGCCACAAGAACTATGAGAAAATTAATTTCTATCATTTAAGCCACTTAAGGTATTTTGTTATAGAGCCTGAATAGAATAATGCATTGATTATTTGGGGTCTGATTTCAGAGTATTGCACAGATTTTGTTTGTAATAATCTATTTCCCCAAGTCATAAATGAAAATGGTTTTGTACTTTTTTTTAAAGTAACTAAAAGACTAATTCGAAAAATTCAATTTTCAAAATTAACAATAACCTGGTCCTAAATTTTATGGTATTGCATTATGGTTTTAATAAACTAGACTCTTTTCCTGTTACAGGATGGATTGTGTTCTAACCACTCTTTCACATCCAACATACCCTGCTCCATCACCTGCACACCAAATTCACATATTGAAGTCATAAACCCAAGTACCTCAGAAAGTGACTGTATTTAGAAACAAGATTTTATAAGAGGCAATTAAGGCAAAATGAGGTCATACATGAGCCCTAATTCAATACAACAGATGTTTTTATAAAAGGAGATTAGGTTACAGACACAAAGGAAAGACTATGTGTGAACACATACAGAGCAGGTGGTCATCTACCAGCCAAGGAGAGAGTGCTTGAAGGGAACCAACCCCACCAATATCTTGAGTTGACTTCCAGCCGCAAGAAGTGTCAGAAAATAAATGTCTGTGGTTTAACCTACCCATTTTTGGTCTATGAGAATCTGAAAAGACTAATTTTACTGTTCTGTTGATTCATTTTAAGTGTTAATGAATTTATTTTCTAAGTATCTCTTTCCACAGTTATTTCTGCCTATTTATTCATCCAGTTAGTTTTAAATTTTTCAAGTTGCGGGGGGGGGGGGGGGCGAGGGGAACCTAGGTATTTTAATAAGATATACGTGATACCAGTAAGTTAATTTGGTGAGAATGAACACATTTATAATATTTAGTCCTCCCATAGAGGAAAAAATTTCCCTCCTTTTTAACATAATAATAATGAAGGGGCTGAGATTGTAGTTCAGCCGTGGAGCACTTGCCTAGCCCATGTGAGGCAGTGGGTTCGATCCTCAGCACCAAATAATGGTAAGTAAATAAAGGTTATAACTAAAAAATATTTTTTTAAAAATAATGAAGAGGATAAACTCAATATATTAGTCCTCAAACAACCCTACAAGTTATGTATATTTTTCACCAATTACATGTGAGGAAATTGAGACAAAGAGGGTTTTAAGTAATTTATTCAAAGTTATACATTTAAGTCCCACAGCTGTAATATTAAAGCCAGGGGCCACCTGATTCTAAAGTCAATGTTCTTTTTACAGGCTAACTCCTAGCATTTTCCCCACTCCACTAGAGATTCTGAGATGCTCAGGGTATGAGCACATAAATGGGTGGTACATTTTTATTAATTTAGTTTTCTTTCCAATAGAAATCTTATATGTCTAATGAAAAATAAATTGAGCTCATTAACTAAAACAAGGTTCACAAAGACTTCTTGTTTCTTATTTTTGCAGTGCTGGGGATCAAACCCAAGGCCTCACACTTGCTAGGCATATGCTCACCACTGAGCAGCATCCCCAGTCCACCTTTTTTGCTGTTTTTTGTGTCTCCCACTAACAAAGCTTAGAATTTCAACAAGGCATGGGCTAAGGGGAAAACTTTTTCAATTTCTTTTTTCCCTTACGGTTTCTGTTTGGTATGAAATCTCTTGGGTAGAATAAGGTGAGAATTCTGATTTAACAATTATTCCTCTATAGTCATAGTCTTTTGTTGTCTCTTCATACAGGTTCTGCATAATTCTTGCCAAAGAAATGATCAGATATTTTGTGGACTATGTAGAAATTGTGATTGAGGTCATTTCAACACTATATTTTTAGCTTGTTATTGCTGAAACTTGTTTATTTTTTTAAAATAAACATTTATTCTATTATTATATCCAACAATTTTGGGGGGGTGTATAAGAGATTAAACCCAGGGGCCACATCCCCAGCCCTTTTTTATATTTTATTTAGTCAGGGTTCTCACCGAGTTGCTAAGTGCCTCACTAAGTTGCTGAGAATGGCTTTGAACTCCGTGATTTTCCTTCCTCAGCCTCTCAAGCCACTGGAATTACTGGCACATGCCACTGCATCAGGCTTTATCTAATCATTTTCTAAATATTTACTATTATACTAGTTTTTAGTTGATCCTCTGGAAAATTCTGGATATTAAATTATGAAAATGGAAATCATAAAAGTCTATCTCTTCCTAATAGCTATCATTCATTTCTTTTTCACATTTTATTGTTTGACTAGAACTTTGAAATCACTAATACATTTGAATGATGGCAATAGGCATCTTCCTCCCACCCCAAGGAATGGAAATCCCTCTAATTTTTCATCATTAAGTATTATACCAGAAAAAAGTATTCTTTTCTTTGTTTTGAAATATGAAAGACAAATTGAGTTTTACAAAAAAATTTAGCATTTACTAAGTATAAAAAAATGTTTGCTCTTTTAATATATTATGAAATGGCCAAAGGTACTTGGGGTTAGAAATCAGACTTGAGGTCCAAAGTGGAGATATGGATGTGTGTTGTCAGTATATGATGGTATTTAACCCTAGAAGACCAGAAATTGCCTAAGCATATATTGAAGAAATGTCAGAAGACGCAGACTGAGCCCTGAGGCATTCCTGAGTTTTTAGAAATGAAGAAATGACAAGTGACTAATAAGTAGGACAACCAAGAGAGTATGGTGTCCCAGAGGCCAAGTGAACAAAGGGCTTCAAGGACAAGTTGAGATCAGCTAATGAGATCACATAAGATGACTCAGCTGACGTGGGAGTTAGCAAACTAGAAATCATTGGGGACCTGGACAAGAATAGTTACACAGTTGAGCAGGCAAAACTTCTGATTGGAATGAGTTAAAAAAAAATTAGACAAGCATGGATGTACTAGGCAAACCTGGCCTATTTCTATTCCCAGTTGTAAACCAAGGCTCAATTCTCTAGATGAAAAATTTTAAAAATTAAAAAATCAAGGTGCAAATTTAAGCTTAAGAGGTAGAAAGAAGTGGAGGCTAAGTGGAATTTGACACCAGCATGCCTGGATTGAAAATTTCAGAAATATCACTCATTACCTCTGTATTTTTCAGAAAGTCATTTAGGATCTCAGTTTTCTCATCTATAAAATGGGGTAATAATACTTTTTAAAAGGGTAGTTGAAAATTCATTTAAAGCACTACACAAATACTAGCTATTCTCATTGAAACAAACAAACAAAAAAAGGATCACCTCACTTGACAGAGTTCCTGGCCTTGATTAAGGGACAAGTGTTTTTGCTATTCATTTAAGACTTCAGTTTAGACTACTGAGGCAAAAGCTTTCCTACTCTTTGCGGCCATATCCTACTTCCTCTCCATAAGAACAGTTTATATTATGACTAGTGAGCAATATATTACTATTGGGCATAGGTACTGGACTCCATACTATATGTGTGAGCATGTCTTCTGTTTTTTCTCTAACTGGGTAGGTGAGTGTATTACCCTTGCCAATACAACTACTTGGTAGGTGAACTCAAAGTCTGCCCCCACAGAGCTAGTTATAACTAAAGTACAGATAGATATATAATGCTACTTTAGCCTTGGTGTAGTATTCTCCAAGCAAGCTTTAACAGAGTATTGGATTCTCATAGAAAGCAGCATTTTATTTCTCAATTGGCTACTAATCTTTTTTTGTTCATGGCTTCTTAGTATAAGAAAGAAGTACAACTGAATTTAAGAACCAAAGCACACCCCCATAATTCTAATAAACTCCTTACTTTGTTTAGTTTAAGCACTGCTTCCTCTGTAAAGGCTGTCTTTATACCTTCACTAAAATTGTGCTAGATTCTTTCTCTAAGATCCCGTTTCTCTATTTGCAGAACATATATCACGTCTCATAATAATATTTTAGTTTGTCACTTTCTCCCCAATAGTCATTGCACCTCTTTAAAATAGGGAAAATAAAGGTCTTCCAAAGTGTTGATATATGAATCTCAATTACTATTTGTGGAATTAATAAATGTCTGGCATACATTATAAATTTTAAGGATATGTGTATGTGGGTATGTGTACATATATAATACACACACACACACACACACACACCCCTACACACAAAAATTCTTCCAACACAAACAGATAAATCCTAGATAAGGATTTTACAGTTAAACTGAAAATTCAGTAGTTAATATATGAAGGGTGTGACATAAATTGAACAGAATATTTATGATATTTTGTTATTTACAAAGGAAACAGTATATTGATGTCATATAAGAAAAGTTTTGTGAAATAACATTTTTGAATAATTATATAGTAATGGTTTGACATTCTGAAGTATCAGTTTTAAAGCTTTTGTCATAAATTATTATTAATGCCACCAGAGAGTAATACTAAAAACTTGGTACTATATTATTCAATATATGTAATTTAATGTACCATAGGTATCTTGGTAAAATGAACAATAATTATACAAGATATATATATATATATATATATATATATATATATATATATATATATAAATATTTACGTATATACCTTCATTGTCAGTATTGGGTTTGGCTTCCATTTCTGCTATCTTGTGTCTTAATTCAAACACTGAGAGTTGCACTACATCCCTGTTATTAAAAATATTTTCTTAATTATGATTCAATTAAAAATAACATGGGAAAACTAATACATGTAACCCCCATTACTTTAGGAATAATTTCTTATGAAATATCATTTATTTATTGAATATTATTAAACATTATTTATTGAAGACATGGTTGAGTATCAAGAATCAGACAAATACAAGCTTCTGATTAATAAGGTCCAGAAAAGATTAAATATGCACTAAGGCTCAAAGCTCCCAGGTAATCACTGGAAGCCAATTACCCTTAAATATGATCCCAAAGAGATTGATTACTGAGTTTCTCAGAACACTGTAAAATAAGAGCTGCAAATTATTACAGACAGGAATAGCTAACAAGGGCAGTAGGCAACAAGTGTCAACCTGAAAAAAAGAAAAAAGAAACACTAATAAAACACACACATGTGTACACACACACACACACACACACACACACACTTTCTTTAAAAAAGCATTTGTAAATATTTCTGAATGCCTTTTGTATTTAAGGCATTTTGTTAAAGACAGTACAATGAGCAAGTGGACAGAACAATATCAACAGCAGCAGCTAAATTCCACTTGAATGCTTACCTGGAATGCACTAGCCAGTGCTAAACATTTTACACATTTCATTCCATCCTGGCAACAACAATAGGAAGTGTAACTATTTATATAACACTCTTAAGAGAAAGCTGAGGCAAGTTAGTTAACTTAAATAAGGTCCTATAGTTATTGAGTAATAAGAGCTGAGATTTAAATTTATGCAGAATTCCTCTAAATACTTGCTCTGAACCTTTACTGCCTCAGAGAAGGCAGAACCTGATCCTCAGAATGTTTATCATTTGGTTCAAGATTTTAAAAATAAGTAATAAATTAATTAGTAGTGTGACTGGAGTTATAATAGAGGAAAGCACAGGATGCTATGGGACCCACAGAAAAGTCAATTCTCATGGGGCCTGTGGGTGTGATAAGATTATCTTTTAAAAAATAGCATATTCAGTTTTAACAAGAAATATTAATATTGTTCTAAAAAGCATAGGAGAGGCAGCTTACTCTGGAGACAGCACACATTCTCCCTTGAATGTGTTATCTATCTTCCTAAATAAACCTGTCTATGCCTTTGTTACAAGAAATGAAAAATCATCTGAGAAACTGGAGATGAACATGCTTTCAATAGTGCCTTTGCCTACCATTGGTAAGGTCCTGAGTTCAATCCTCAGCATTGCACAAAGAAAGAGAAAAAGAAAGCATAGGAAGAAGGCCCGATTTTTTTTGGTAACCATTTAGTTACCATTTCTAAGTTCTTCTAAAGGATGAAATACTAAATAAATTCCTTGGGATTTTAAACTGAAAAACCCGAATTCAGTAGAACATAAAAACCAAAGACCTATTTTAAAATTACAACATATATACATATATACCAAATACACTTGGGGGGAGGTGTTGGTGGTGGTATTTTTTGGTTTTGTTGTTCTTGCTTTATTTATTTATTTAGATATTTATATATACCAGGGACTGAACCCAGGGGTGCATTTTTTTTTTTTTTTTTGAGACAGGGTCTCACTAAATTGTTTAGGGCCTCCTAAATTGCTGAGGTTAGCTTTGAACTTGCTATCCTCCTGCCTCGGCCTCCCCAGACTTTATAATTGCTGGTATGCGCCACCGCGCGGGGCCACTTAGTTTCAACCATAAAGAAAATACAACTGTATACTGACAGGCATAACTAATCAAGAAGGCAAATCAACCTCTAGCACAGAACACTGTTAGGGGAAGTCGGCGGACGTCCTGACGGCTTCTGTCTGAGGCCGAGCGCCAACTGACCCGAGGGTCGCCCCGGAGGCCCGGGGTCGCGCACCTGCCCCTCATGGGCGCGGGAGGCCGCGCGCCGCCGACTCACTTCTGGTAGATTTCTTCCAGCAACTCCAGTTTAAGGCGGTCGGTGCTCACACCGTCGAAGTTTTCGCCTCTTCCCTCCCCCATAGCGAGAGGTCGGAGAGCTCCAGCGCCCTTCGACTTGGCACTGCTTAGAGTATAAGACCTGGAAGGGGCATCCCCAAGCTGGGAAAGAAAAAGCGTCGCCAGGAACGGTCGCCATGGAGAAACGCCTCACAGTCACCCTCTCCCGCCCACTGCGCCGCGTCACGCGTGACGTCATAGGGCGTCGCCCGCATCGCCCTCCCAGTGGGGCGCCGACTGGGGCGGGAATTGAGGGAGGCGGGTTTTGCAAGTTGGGTCCTGTTGGGAGCAGCCCCGTGGCTAGACTGAGGGCCCCATTCCTCCCCAACTCCCGCCTGGATCTGGAGGCCAAGAGGGATGTGCGCCGGCTACACAGCTGAGTGTGAGGGGCTCCAGAACACCCCCCTCCTTCTTTTTACCTCCTTTTGGCCTTGCTTGCTTTCCTAAACACTGCGCAGTGCCTCATGTTTCTTTATTCCTGGGCCTTGTTAGAGAATGCTGGGTCAAAAGTGGCTGCACCTTTCTTTGCTTCAGTTGGATGCGCACCAGAGGCTCTGGTTAGGGGTGACCCAGGAGGAGCAGACCTTGAAAAGGTACCCCCTGAAAAGAGTTTTAAACCTCATTCCGGGATGCTCTTGTCTTGAAGTTTAGGCAAATCTGAGGAATGTCCACTGCAACTTGAAATTTCATTATATATGTTAATTACATATTTTGCGTTCTGCTCAAGATACATCTGTGTTTCAATATCTTCTCCCTGTCCCCATCATTGACAAGTACACTGGCTACTTTGATTCGAATATGGCTTTTCCCCCTCAAAATTCATGTCGGAATTATGAGATATTAAAGAGATGAGACCAGGGGACCTTCATGAAGTGATTAAAGCTATGCCCACATGAGAGGAATAATCCATTCATGATTACTGATTCCATTCATGATTAATGGGTTGGTTAATGGCTTATCTCCAGAGAGGGTCTGCTATGAAAGCCCCTTTGACTAGGACTTTCTCATACTCCCTGTCTCTGGACAGTGATATCCTACACTACATTGGGACTTCTTGCTGGAAGGCCAACACCTGATGTTGCCCCTCAATCTTGGAGCAAGAACCGTGAACCAAACCCTCTTCTTAACTTACCCAGTGTGTATTTATTATGGTTTGGATATGAAGTGTTCCCCAAAAGCTTCTGTGCCGCTGCAGGAATATTCAGAGTTGAAATGATCAGATTATGAGAGCTGTAAACTAATCAGTCCATCTTAGCTTGAATGAACTGACTGGGTAGTGACTGTAGACAGGTAGGATTTAGTTGGAGAAGGTGGATCAATTGGGCCTGCCCTAGAAAGGTTCATCTTCCCTGCAGCCTATCTGCTTCCTGGCTTCCAGGAATGCAGCAGCGCCCCTCCACCACACCCTTCTCCATGATGTTCTGCTCACCTTAGCCTCAAAGCAATGGACTCTGAAAACCATGGACTAAACCACAAGCTAAAGTAAACTGTTTCTCCTAATTTTTTCTTGTTGGGTATTTTGGTCACAGCAAGGAAAAGCTAACACAATGATATACAAGCTATACAAAATGGACTAAGAAAGTAATGACCTTTGCTTTCTAATTTTGGTACATTTTCCTGAATCAATTTGAGAGGCTTAAGCATAAGAACATGTTTTTTTGGTAGAAATCAGCACAATGTTGTATCTGGTAAATATTTTCTTTATTCTCTTCTCAAAAGGCTGAGAAGTGGCCCTAAATAGAGGTCAGTAAATATGTCAGATTCCTATAAATAGAAAATATTTCAAAGGTATAAAAGCATAAAAATCATATATATTTAAGGTGTATTTTATTTGGTTGCTGTTTACCAACAAATTTTCAGAAACTGAAAATATATTATTGGAAAAATATTAAAAGACTAACTGCAATAGAGTCCTATGGATGCTGTACTTTAAAGTACTATTCATACAAAATAAAAATTAGAATGATTTGCAAGATAGATGCTGGAGCTAAGGAAAAGTCTTCTGTTACAATATGGGTTTCTAAAGAAAGGAGATTTTAGAACTTTGGAAAAATCTCTGTACTAGGAAAAGTTTTAAGCATGGAAACAGTTTGGAATTGAACTGCTTGAAAAACACACAAACATAGTAGCATGCCGCAGTCTGGCTGGGCACAATCAGGAGCCACTTGTCAAAAGAAACTAACTTTATTTTTAGAACCAAACACGCCAAACAAAACAGCCTCTCAGGAAAAACCCTCAGAGCCTCAACTGCCACCACCGGCTTTCCATAAGCCTCTCTCTCCCACAAGCTTCTCTCCACCTCCCACAATCCTCCTCCTCTTGAGGCCGATTGGCTGGGTCACGTGGGCGGAGCCAAAAAAGTCCCCCAATGAGCAGCTCCGTGGTCTGAAAGGGCAGGGAAACAGCCCAATGAGCATCACCGCAGAGGAGCCAATCAGCTATATGTTGCTGGGGCCGCTGTGAGCCAATCATCAGCCGGCAGCTGGAAGTTTGCTGGGGCCCCTTGGGCTGTGGCTCTCAACATCTCCCCCTCTCTGTTTAAACAAAAAGCATGTGGCTTAGGGACCGTGCCTGCCTTAGGTTGTCCAATAGTACATATGGTCCTTACCCGTTAGGTTGGTACCATTGCAATTGGATCTTACCCGTCATTGACTACCGGTCCAATATACAGCCACACCTGTGGAGAGGTCTTTGTACCAGCGGGGGGGGGGGGGGGGGGGGG